CAGCTTCTCTGGTCAATTTTAACTTTGCTTTTTCTGACCTTGATGCATTTATGTTTTCAGACATCACTATGTATTAGCATATACATATTTGTGCACAGTATCTTTTTTTAAGGAAAAATTAGGAGAACGGCTATTGATCATGTATATCAGTAAATACATCATACATGGGGCTGATCCTATAACCACTGGCATTCAAATCTCCTGTTGCTATAAATGAGAATTTAGAATGTGTGTAATATGCAGGCTTGGGCCCTTAGGATCCAGACCTGCCAAGTACTGAACACCCTCGGTTCCCATTTGGATCAGTGTGTTTCAAAGACACTTGGAAGTTATAGGAGCCCTTCAGCACCTCAGAGGATTGGGGTCACTGTGCCTTTATTTCAATGTGCACAATGTATTAATGCCAGCAACTGCAGAATGATAGTCTGCATTTTTTGACTGAGTTTTAACTGTACTTGGTCCCTCGGTTGACTTCAGTGTGCCTGTATGTCTACGGGCTCATATGTAGATGTAAACAGAGCCCTATTTATGTGTAATGCACAGATCTCCAGACATACCGATATGAAAAGAATGTCTGGAGTGGGAACTCTTCCCTGTAGTTATTTCTGAACTATATTTCTTTCTACATGCCAAAGACCCTTGTCCCTAGACCTGCCCCGGGCTTCTCTAAACAGAACATTTGTGAGTTATATAAGCATAGACACAAATCTGGAAAACATATTGATATAAAAACTTCCTTCGTTTGCCCCTCTTCTTGAATGACTAAAAGGCCAAATAGAATTTTAAATAACTTTTCCACCTTCCCCAAAATTATTTTTCTTAGGGCAAAAAACAAGCATGAGAAAGGTCACTCTAAAGGGGGGAGGGAAGAAGAGGGGCTCTTACACCAGGTAACCCCAGTCCCAACTGTCAGAGCAGCCTTTGGAGTCTGTCATAGGGACATATCTGGTGTCCAGAGCCATTCCTATATACAGGTTCCATTTGTCCCAGGTACTGTTACTCTGGCTGGCTTGTCACGGGCCTCCATTGAGCAGACAGTTGGGGCAGGATTATGACTGGGAGGGAAGGGGTGATGAGGAGGCCCACTGCCTCAACAGAAGCTCCTTGAGGCAGTACAAAGAGAGTATGTCTGCTGATACATCCTTCAAAAGTGTTAACTATGCACTCTCCCCTGCATGGAGGTAGCTCCATTGGCACGTGCAAGGATTTGGGGGTGGGTATCATCCCACCTCCTCTTTGCCCATTTTAGGGGAGTCTGGAAAGATTTGCATAGACAACACTTGTGCTGTCTGAGTGCAAGGACTGGGAATGTACCCAGCCCCTCCAAAGAGACAGAAGGGCACAGATTCCTTGCACCTGACCGTCACCTAGCCCTTTGCGTTTCCACATATGCTGACCCTTGGAGAACTGAGTTACGTGTTTCCTGTATTAGGCTCATTCTCTGCCTCATGAAGTTTAGTTGGTTTAGATGTGCCAAGTGTGACCCTTTCTCTTTGTGAGCTGTTTTTTCCCACTTGTACCTTCCGCCTCTCTCGCAGCAACACTCAATTATAGGACAAAAGATGACCAGGAAATACCTTTTTAGATCTTGAGTTTATACAGCTATGCCATGCTTCCCTCCTTTCACACACATCTCTAATGCCCTTTAATAACAACTTTATGAATTGCTTCTTTTTCGGCCTTAGTTAATTGCATTTGTTAATGATTTTCTGTAAAAATTCCTTTTAATGCTCAGCTGTTACTTAATTGATGGTCCCATATACAAATGTACATGGAAAGACTTAAAATAAAATGCCAGTAACTGAAGGCAAGCAGCATTCATGCAAGGTGGCTTCTCATAAAGTCATTGGAGTCTGGAAGCTAGATGGTGTGAAAATTAATTCTTAATAACATGCTGGCAGATTTGTGATTGACTATTTTGCTATTGAATAGTAATATATCTTTGCTGGTGAGGCAAATGTAGGCCATGAGTTAATCTGAGCAGTGGTGCCTTGTTTACAGAAGAACATTTCCAAGTATTCCCTTTAATTGAGCCACAGAACGCACATGGAGAGACTCACATTGCATGCAAACCTGTGGAATAAACCCAGACGAACGTTTTCATAATAGGTTATATAAAGCTTGACTCCTAAATTAAAAGTGGACTGATTTTTTTCAGAGATACTGAGTGCCTTCATGTCCCATTTGAAGGTTTCCTCTCTGAAAAGTGACTGTAAATACAGCACTGGATGGTTCCCTGTTTGTCTCTCAATGACTCCATAACTAATACACTTGGTGGTTTACAAGTGTAAAGCTGTTTCTTCCGCCAGCCCCACAAACTCAACCTTGTGGCACAGTGTAAACTTCTTTCTTTTTAATGCCGGTAGCTAATGAATAGAAAACAAAACTTGTATTTTATCACCTTTTTAGAAATATTTCTGTGCAAACTCTTTGACTGTTATGATGCATGGAAAGGAGTTGGCTATGGGAAGAATCATTTCCAACCTCTCTACATTGTTATAAAGTTAAACATTTAACTTGTAGACTCCTTATATTAGAAGCTCCAGCACTTAATAGTGCATCCAGCAGCTATTAAAGCAGAGGAACACACTTAAGAAGCAGTAATGCCTAAAGCTGATAGTGGACAGCAAACTAGATATGAGTTGGGAATATGATAAAATAGTAGGGAAGACCCAGTTTTGATCTACAACATAACAACCTGTAGCAGGGCAGTTATACTCCTTGGTGCCTCTGCTGACAATAGAGTTGCCAGGTGTCCAGTTTTCGACCAGAATGCCTGGTCGAAAAGGGACCCTGGCGGCTCCAGTCAGCACAGCTGATGGGGCCACTAAAAGTCCGGTTGGCTGGCTCCACATAGCTCCCAGAAGCAGCTGGCATGTCCCTTCGGCTCCTAGGCACAGAGGTGGCCGGGGGGTTCCACGCACTACCCTGTCCACAGTGCCGGTGCAACCCTGAGCACTGGCTCTGCAGCTCTCATTGACCGGGACCTGTGGCCAATGGGAGCTGCAGGGGCAGCGTCTGCAGATGAGGGCAGTGCATGGAGCCCCCTGGCCGCCCCTCTGCCTAGGAGCTAGAGAGACATGCTGCCCGCTTCTGGGAGCCGCCTGAGGTAAGTGGAGCCCACACCCCAAACCTCTTCCCACATGCCAACCCCCTGCCCTAGCCCTGAGCCCTCTCCTGTATCCTAACTCCCTCCCAGAAACTGCACCCCCTCCCACACCCCAACCCCCTGCCCCATCCCTGAGCTCCCTCCTGCACTCCAAACTCCTCGGCCCCAGCCCAGAGCCCCCTCCAGCACCCTGAACCCCTCATCCCTGGCCCCATCCCAGAGTCCACACCCCCAGCCCAGATTCCATACCCCCTCCCACACTCCTGCCCCAGCCTGAAGCCCCCTCCTCCACCCCTCATCCCTGGCCCCACCCCAGAGCCTGCACCCCCAGCCAGAGCCTTCACCCCCTCCTATACCCCAACCCCCTGTCCCAGCCCAGTGAAAAGGAGTGAGTGAGCGATGGGTGGGGACAGGGGGTCAGGCAAGGGTGTTCGGTTTTCTGCAATCAGAAAGTTGGCAACCCCAGCTGACAACAGTACTCCAGTACTCTTTCTGTGACTCTGGTGAGAAAATACCTTATGCACTAATTCCAGGGTTTTATCCTCTCTATGGACCAGATTCTGATACCCCTACAGTGATAGCCCCTGGTTCAGTCTTGTTCACTCAATGAGAACACTCGTGGAAAGAGGCACTACTTCACATAAGGGCAGCAGAATCTGCCTCTGTGTGGGTTCTCTCTAGTGTAAGAACGTTGGTGCGAATTGCAGAAACACCTCCCCTCCCATACACTATCACAGATCACTTGCAGTGTGTATAACATCCTTGTGGCATCTAAAGCAATTTCTTACATGGAAAAGTAATATAGGAAAGTAGGTAATGCATTTTTATCACTATCTTAATGTGACTGAGCAGATGGAAACCAGGAGGGGAGCCAGCACCATGCAACCAGCCAGCTTTCCACAGGTCACCAGCAAGTGGTTCACAGGCTCCAGTCTGAGAATCCTTGCCATTTTGAGCTCTGGGCACTTTGTTACTGGAATGATTTAGACAAATGGGGGAGGAGGGGGGAAGGGGATTTAGAGAAGAGCCATAAAAAAGAGTCAGAGATTAAAACCTGACTTGCAAGGAATGATTTAAAAGAATTAAATATACTTGGCTAAGGGACAAAAACCTGGGAACATAACTGTTTGCACCTTTTGAGTACTTGTAAACATCACAGGGAGAAGAATTATTTAAGGTAGCACAAGGTAATAGGTATAAGAAATTTTATCTGTATGTGAGAAAATTCTTCTTAACTATGAGATCATCTACACTGTGGAGAAGTCCCAAGAGGTAGGATGAAGGTCCCATCACTTGTGGCATTTAAAACTAATCTGGATAAAGCCTTTGAGACAATCCAAACAATCCTGCCCTTCCTGGGGTTTGGACTAGATGACTTTAATCGGTCTCTTCCACATCTGACTTTTCTAGATATTGCTCTTTATGTGTAGAAGGTAAACAAAATGCTTCGGCCTTGCTGCCTCAATTCCAAACAAAACTGGTACATGTCTTGTTGATCAAGGAATGTTGCAGAGTACAGCCACAGCATTTGTCATTTTCTTTTAAAGTGCTGGGTGGTTGATCCCTGTCATCTGTCAGGAAGTGGTGTAATGGGTTAAGGTATATTGATAGAAGTCTCAATAGCTGCTATAACAGAAGCCAAGTTTAGGCCATACCATTAGTAATGCATAATGAAATGACCTAAGTGAAAGGCAGGCTTTGGGGAATAAAGGCATTTGAGCTGGATAGCTCTAGTATGTGATCTTACTATTAAAATTAAGCTTCTGGCCTCTGACTGAAATGATGAAAATAAATCCTCCTATATTCTTCTATATTAAGAAGCTATGTTGTAACACTTTTTTAAAGACAGGGTATTAATCTATCCCTCTCTCCTTGTCTTTTTCTTTTCTAGGTACAGGACCTATTTATGCTACAGACCCACTTCTATATATGTTCCTGTTAATACTGCATAAGCTTGTACACTTATTAGTAAACCACTGATGGACTATTTTATCCAATATTCCTAAGCCAAACAAAAAGGAACCTGTTTAAAAACAAAACAAACCCTTGATAAGAACTGTAGTTTTAAAGATGGACAGAGAGAGACTGAAAGAAGCATGACAAACTGTACATGGGGAGGGGGGAACATATTTTTGGGGATGTTACACAAAATAAACCACCTAAAATAATGAATCTAGTTTCCAGATGATATGGTGTAAAGCCACGCTCTGTGCATGGCACCTATGATTTCTCTATTTTAATGTAATTTTTTTTCTTTTCTAAACCTTCCCTCTGACTATTCATTTTGCACGAACTGTTGAGCAGTTATCTTTATGATAATATGTAAAGATGTTGAGTTAAAGCCCTTCTAAAGAAGGGAAATATTTTTAGTAGATTATTGTGTTTAGGTTTTTGGATTTCCTTTTTCTGTTTTTTAATTAAAGTAAATTATTTCTTTTTGAGACATTTTGATTAAAAAAGGCACATCTTACCATAATTAATATTCACTGTCAATAATATTTATTTTTAAATAAAGATTGGAAGCAAGGTAAGACATTTGTTTATAAACTGTATTGTATATTGCTGAATAACAGTTGAATAAAAAGATTTTGAAATAATGTTTCTGCAGCTGTGTATGAGTTTTAATGCTCTTTATACATAGACAGCACTGAATTGCTACATGTATTGTGTGTTCCTCCTTCAGTCACAATTCATGGCTGTTTGCCTACTTTCTGAAGCACTCAGAACATCCAAGAATCTTGCTATCACCTGCCTGTTCACAACAAGCAGGGCAAAGGAACGATGGTGCAACATGTAACTGTATATTAAATCTATATAAAAAAGGAATCTGTTGCCAGGTGTGTTAGTATCTGGTCACAAAGCAGAGATTTATTTCACTTTGCTGATAACCTCAGTCTGGGGAAGCTGCTACATTATGCAAAGTCAGAAGAACCAATAAACAATATGGAATGTTGAAGGTAGGTTAAATTTTGGATGTATCCGTTTTTACAATATCCTTGCAAAAACAGTGGAATGAAAAAAATTAATTACATTCTCAAATGTGCAATATTAATAAACTAAAAGCTAATAATGTATTGTGTGACGTAGATCGTACTTAGTCCTGCCAGGAGTGCAGGGGACTGGACTAGATGGCCTCTCGAGGTCCCTTCCAGTCCTATGATTCTGTGATATAAGTAGGGCCTGAACCAACATCCATTGACTGCAATGGGTTCTGGATAAGGCTCTTAAATTTCTGTTGACAAATACCAAGTAGAGCTGGTTGACTTTTTTTTTTTTGAATGAAAAGGGTTCCCCCCCTCTCCTCCAAAGATGGACTTGTTGCAACAAACAATTTTTTCACAAAAAAATGGTTTGAGAACATTTTCATTAACAAAAATGTCATCTCTTAAAAAAACAGAATGGTTATTGAAACTTCATCTTTACTGAAAAATGGTTATGTGGGGGAGAGGTCAACTTCAAACACTGAGATTGGTTTGAAACTGGGATAAGGTTTGCCTGTGCAAGCCTTGCTTTACATTGGAGCACTGCATCTATACTGGGGGTTTAGACAACACCCCTAAATATGTATCGTAGGTCCTCCATTTTTTTTAAACTGTTACTGCTTAATTGTCTGGTGTCTGTAACTGATCCAGTTTATGTTTACATCATTATGTAATATTTCCATTTATATGTTTGAATTCCTGTCGAAGAGTAGGGAATTTATATTTAATATGCTTACAGTTATGGAATTTTGGGGGCAAATATTTAGAAACAAAATAGTAGGTTAATCTTTTTACATTTTAACAGTGTATTCATTTATCTTAAACCCCTAGTGTGATGAATGTCAATAGGCTTCACTAATGATCAAATTGAGTTTGATTTTTAAAGAGGAAAATATTCTTACCGATATGAAGAAAACCAACCCATAACATAAATAAGGAGTTGCCTGCTAAATGCCAGTACACATGGCTCATATTTTGTCAATACATTAAGCTGTTTCAGATTTCATTCATATTGATCAGTAATCTAATTGTAAATGTAATCTTGTTTTTTGGAGATAAAGGGAATCTGACCTGAAGGATATATGATTTTTTAAATAGTTTGTTCAATACTGCACTGTGCTAATGTCAGTTTAAAGAGTTAGCTATTATTGTTATCTAGGGGACCAGAAGGGCTGGACAGTGAAACAGCAAAATCTGTGTCTGTTTCATTTTTCTGAGAAAGGGATATTGCTTTCAAAAGAAACACCCTTATTTGATATTTCAAGAGCTACATTTCCTACAGATGTTTTATTTCCAGAAAGATTTGCCTGAGGAAGCAGATGTACAATATTCACTTATAGTACTTCATTAAGGCCCTGCTGCACCATTTCCGAATATCTCTTACAAAGAGAAGATGGCTGTATCTACAAGACTGAATCCTAAAAAAGAAATAACCAGATGGCGGTGGGCAAAAATGGTGGTAGGTTCAATGACTTCAGCAGGTGTTGAGGATGTTCCGTTCCTTGAGATTGACTTTTTATGTGTTTTGATTAGCAGGAAACAAATGAGGCTTTTAAAGTTCTTTAGCCACCATGCAGTCCTCTGCCAACCATGTACGTGGAGTACTGGAGATGCAGCTCTTGATGTTTGACTCAAACAATGAAGGATTCTGTATAACTCTCTAGCTCAGTCAGCTTTAGTGTTTTAACATTATAGTGGAAATTGGAGTATTTACTATACCTAAACACTTAGATGTGAATCTTCTTCCAGAATCTCTTCCTTTGGAACAGTTCTGTGCTCCACTCTGCCCTGGTCAACACCAAATACACTACTTCAAATATTTGTTGTATGCTAAGATGCAAATTTTTAATGGACTCTTCCTAATGAGTTAAACTGGTAAATAAACACACTCTCTTATCTGGCAGAGTGCTTCTGAGAGTTCATGGGGACTGGCTATGGTATGATTGCTTGCTTTTGTTTACATATTGAAAAATAAATGAATTTAGTGCTCATGACAGGTGCTCTATTTACCACGATGGAGACAACAAGCTTCTGTCAACAGAACAGGTACAGCAAAGGCAGTCATTTTTGCAAGCTTCCTCGGACTATCGACCTGAATCCTCTTCTGGAGGGACTACAAGAGAATGAGAGGGTTGTTCAGTCTCCCTACATATGAGGAATCTGGCTTCTCTGATGAGACTGCCAATCATAGTGATGGATTTGTGATGAAAACTTCTCAACTAGCCATTGGATTGAAACACCAGCTCATTTCATATATACCACCATGTGGTGGTAACTCTGAGTCGCTACCACGTTGTGCTAAACTCAGGCTGGTGAGTCCATATCACAGTACTAATTCCCTTAAATCCATTCAGTCTTTCATGGGTATGTAGTAGATGCATCTACACAAAAAGCAGAACTTTGGAAGAACATGTGGTGGAAACAGTTACTCTGAGGTTCTGGAGCCTGGAATATCCTATACGTAATCACTGTTCTAAGATGGTGGAAAAGGGATATTCCTGCTTTCAGAAAGTGAAGGTGAGTGGGATTCTCCTTTACAGTGGGGAAGAAAAGCAGGGGTGAAAAGAAAAGAGGTGAATGCTAGATGCTGCCTAAATTAATACTAGCATTTAATTGATGACCAGAAAATTGTTCACGGACAGTTATTCCAGCTGAAGTACTTTGTGGGTTTGCTAATGTTAACAAGAGCTTTGGTAATCTACTGATTAATTCAGGGGTGGGCAAACCTTTTGGCCTGAGGGCCACATCGGGGTTCCGAAACTATATGGAGGGCCGGTGTAGTGTATTCAATTGCTCCCCACAGGAATGTGCTATTTACGGTGTACTACTCATGGCTGCCAGCCCTGGTGCTCCATAAGTAGCATATTCCTACGGGGAGCAATTTAATACACTACACCTGGCGGCTCTCACAGCCGCGCTGCCCAGGAGGAGCTCGCAGCCCCGCTGCCCAGAGCGCTGGCAGCACGGTGAGCTGAAGCTGCAGGGGAGGAGCCGGGGACTAGCCTCCCGCCAGGAGCTCAAGGGCCGGGCAGGGCAGTCCCGCAGGCCATAGTTTGCCCACCTCTGGATAAAGTTCTGGTCATGTAAGTGAAACCTGAATGGGTTTTAACTGAGTTCCTTAGATGAGTTCAACAATATGCTGGTGGGGATGGCAAAAAACTTCTCAGAGGAGGAAAAAGTAGAAGGGGGCAAGAAAAGGGTAAATAGTTGAAGCATAAAGTGGTGGAATGTTCTAGTCCAGTTCTTAGACTACACTCATCAGCATAGGAACTGATCATATAACATGATTTTCAGGAGCTAGGAATGCCATACATCTCATAACAATTGTCCTTGACTTTATATTTTGGTCACAGAACGTGTACCTGCAGAGGACTTTGACATCCATTAAAAGCTTTGTGTACTTGAAGTCTTTAAACCATGATTTGAGGACTTCAGTAGCTCAGACATAGGTAAGAGGTTTATCGCAGGAGTGGGTGGGTGAGATTCTGTGGCCTGCATTGTGCAGGAGATCAGACTAGATGATCATAATGGTCCCTTCTGACCTTGGTATCTATGAGTCCACTGGGAAAAAATGAAATTACCAAGACTTTTAATGTTTCAGACTTTAATAACTTCTTTATCATTACTGAGATGAGAATTAAATTAGACTAATGTAGAAAATAAGAAGAGTTTCAGACCTCAATTTGAAAAGTGAAACAGTCACCAGAGGATTTGGTGAAAAAGTTTTATTAGAAAAGTATGAATTTTAAATACAATTAAATCTATTGGGCCAAATTCAGGACTTTTTCCATTCTATGAGACATGACTGTACTCTACCACAGCATCTTCAGAACTTGTATTCTGACATGACTAGCTCGAGCCCTCCCTCCCATGCAGGGCTTGCATTGCCAATCACCCAGCCCCCTCCCTGCACGTTCCTCAGTTGGCAAGAGCAAACGGGACAAATGCGCAGTTTTGGCAAAAAAAAGTTGGGACAGGGGACTACCCTGGCCGAAACAGGACGTATAGTCACGCTACTCCTAGAGAAAAGTGCAGCGGTTCTATCTCACTTGGCCAACTCTTTTCCCAAATACACATACATAGAAGAAGCAACCTGGAGTTGGCACAATATTTTGAGAGTAGTACAGGGGAGCATTGGCTGAAAAACATGGAGGCAGCACTGCTCATAATACATTTGTAGTCTTAAAACTAAATGTAACCATAAGAAATATTCAGAAGGAAAATGGCCCTAATAACTGACAAACTTAAAATGAATGTATGTTGGGAGGAGGTTTTACAGCTTTATTGCTTCTGAGTGTGTTGGGGATTTTTACTAAAACATCTTTCCTTTGAGAGCACTACTTCCCTGAAAAGGGAAATGGCTTCGCTTCTCCTGATCATATTCACAAAGGGCAACATACCTCTACAGTTTCTGCTTTAGTTTTAATGGCCAAAGCCTTGCAGCAACTTTTGCTCTTTCATAAGATTCAGTGTCCATTAGGAATAGGTACTATGTACTATACAGCTTTCAGGGAGTTTTGTTTCTTCCAATTGCCTACCATAATAAGTCAGAAGACCTTCAGAACCTAACACTAGGTTAATTGAATTTTTGACATGTTACATCAAATCCAAGTGCT